TAATATAAGAGAACAAATTTAGACATTAGAAAGTTGAAATTCTGTACTGTATGGCAGTAAGCACCGTATGGTTACTGCTCTTATAAAATACGATCACACGAGTCTTGTCGCATGATAACGTTGACGGGGGATACGTTTCCGTACTCTGGAGATGGGCACGTGCTCAAAGTGATAGAAATCTTAATCCGGTGTCAAACTGAAGTGGATCCTGGCACACTCCGCATGTTTTGTGCTTTAAAGACTCCTGGCACAAAAAGAAAGCCATATAAATATGTTGACACGTACAGGAGACAGATATTGCCTCCACATGCACCCATAGGAATCTAACTGCTAATAAATTATTTTTTTTTTTAATTTTGTTGACATGGTCGCTTGGGGAGTGAGCTAGGGATGACGCCTGTTAGCCACAGCCTGTGTTTTATCTAGCTTTCAGCAAGCAACCAATATTTTGAAGAGTGAAGATTAAACTGTGATTAGTGGTTCTGATGGGAAAGTTGCTTGATTAGTGGCAGCTCCTATTAAAACTGTGAAGCAATGAGGAGAATTTACAGATGCAGAATTGCCTTTCAACAGCAGGAGTGGGAACAGAGGCAACATACTATACTTGGGGTACCGAGAGATTCATTTTGCCACTGAGAGAAACTGTGTGTAGACAAAGCCAGAAGAGGAGACTCAGACAAGCCCAAGGCAGGCCGTGTTTCTGCTGATTTCTAAAAAGCCTTTAATTGCAGAACTGTCTTGCATTTCAGTCATTCCTTACAAATTTCCAAGACTCACCAGGCTTCAAAAGCCCATCAAGGCACTGTCTTACGTGCAAAGCTATCTCCCTCTCCCCTTTTTCTCACCTGACACAGGCATCCAAGAGCTGATATTCCAAAACAGGACAGGCTGTGCTCAAATTGAGAGGCTATCTGGCCTTGGCATCTGACATTTTTCTGGCGTAGCTGTGTGATGAGGAAGCCAGAGCAATGTTAACTGAACGTGCATTCGAGTGTTATAGGGCTATTGCAGGCATTTTGTCTGTGCCTGACGCCAGCCAGAAACCTTTCATCAGATACTGTTTATTTGAATAAGAATTTAAACTTAAAATAAAAATGTCCCTTGATGGAGAATCATCTGTTCTACAGAGCTGCTTACCTTAAATGATAAAAATGTGAATTATTTCTGGTTTACTTACTCTTAAGGCCTCTGTCCAAATACTACTTAGTGAACAAGCCTTAAAGAACTGTGTAAGGAAGAATCCAGTATATTTTGTTTTAGCACTTAGAGACAGAGCTGCGGGGAGCCATTTATAGCCTATCCAAGCAGAGACATGAGCATTTCTGCTTCTCAAAGTAGATCCTACTTCTCCATAAAAGTCATTGACTCAGCATAAATAAATGTTCACAAATAAGTGTGTAAATCATGCTTGTTTTCTGCTATGGAATTCTAACTGTTAATGTGCTGTTTTGGTAAATGCATAATGTTGATTAAATTTAGAATTTGTCTTGCTTATATGAACATATTTCAGTAATAGAGTGTTGTCTTTTTTTTCCAGTTATTGATTATTTTCTAGCCAGATTTTTGTTATACTGATATATTGATTCATATGCTATTCCTGTGACTTGTGTTATGGTTCGATTTGACTCATCATCTTAAAACACTGTTTTCTGTTTCCACTTATCGTTGAGTGTCATGGCCAAATTCACTTCTGGCATAAGTACTTATAACCCCATAAAAGTTTTGTTAAAGCTGTGAATGAAATGCAAAACTTGAAGTGGAATGTTTGAAGTTAGCAGGGACTATAGAGATGGTCTTGCTTAGCCATTTTTCTTTAAAACTTTTTTTTTTTTTTTGATTAAGTCAATATTTGCTTCTGATTGTCTTTTCTTTTTCTTTGTGGAAACTTAAAGTTTTAAATAACACCCTTGCTCTTTCGATTTTCCTGTGGCCTTTGTCATAGAAGCTGGGTAAATTTGACCTCTTTTCTTTTTCTTAAAAAGACAGGTTGTGATTTAGGTTACAAACACACTGTTCCAGGAATGGTTTTGAGAACCATCTTAATTTTCTTTGGAAATATCAGATAAATGCAAATACTTATTTTCCACCAAAGTGTCAAACTACCTACTGCAGCGCTCAATCCTTTAAATAGGTGTCTGAGGTGACTAAAGCATTTCTCAAAAAAGACCATTAAGGAAAGCCTTTCCTGAGCTGATACCTAGTGATATTTCCTTGGAAAAGCACAGATAAAATCAGTGCTTTCAAACCTTCTTTTACATTTCTCTCCTTTTTAAAAATATTTTTTGTTGGTGTTTAGACAACTCATGGAAAGCCAAGAAATTACAGTCTACTTGGCTGATCCCATTCAACAGATGGAATTGTGCCTTTACTTTTTGGAAAAATCCCATAGGAATTTTGCTAGCCAGCCTGCTGTTAGTAATCTTTTTTACTAAAAGTCAACATTTAAATATTAGCAAGATCAAAACCAGAAAGATTTTTCATATGACCATTTCTGGTTTTCTGGGATCTGAGAGCTTGTACATATTATACAAAAATGAGTTTGGTCTTTCATAATAAAGATACAGCCTTTGTAAATGCTTGTTGGACAATTATTTTTTTCTGTTCCAAAATACAAGTAGTTTCAAATGGCTGTCTGAGATTTCAGCCTTTGGTATTACCTGGCAGCTAAAGTGACATAAACTGAATGTCCCAAGAGCCCTCATTACCACTGTTCCAAAATTCCCTGGCACTCTTCTCATGTCATACAACTTTCTCCATTGGCCATCTGAAGTTACCTCTTTGTGTTTAGCGCTGTGTTTATTGCTTCAATCTTTACATAAAATCAACGAAACCACTTTTGAGGATTCTTTTATAGTCTGCATAAAAAAATCTTAAAATCCAGTGACAGTAGCATGAACTCACCAGTGTGTCTTAATCTTTATTTACATCAAGGAAAATTTAAAAAATAACGCTTGAACCAGCAAGTAGATAAAGTTACACTTTGTAAAACTAGTACATGTTAATGGAGACTCAGCTACAACAGTTCCAGGTAGGCAGTATTCAGCTTTATGTAACAACATTCACTGCCTTTTTCTTCCCATTTTAAGAGATTAGTCAAGGCTTTTGGAGGTGGTATTAGTCACATTGCTTATTCTATTAAAATTCCCGCTTTACAAAATTTCCTTTACACAAAGTACAAAGATATGCCAAACATAACAGTTATTTTTTCAACAACTTAGCAGGAAAAAGACATTTTCAAGTAGAAGTTTGTAGATACTATAATTGTCAAACTTGACTAATTACCATATAATGACTAGTAGCAATTTGTGCATTTCATGCGGTTGTTTAAATATGATCATATTTGCTCTACTTTATATGTGTTTTTTTTTCCTTGGTTTAGACAATTGTAGTTAATCCCAAAATAAATATCGTAAAACTCCAAAACATATTCTCAAGCATAGATTATACACCTCAAAGTTAAAATCTTTCATTAATCTTTAAAAATGAAACATAGTAAACCAAATCACACTTCACACTGAAATATCCTTCAAAGTATTTACTCCCTTAAAATATATATATTACTATTTTACAATTTAGTAATTATTGCTCATTTTACATAACTTTGGTTGTCATCTTAAAACGCAGGAAAAGGTCATATTTGTAAGTTTGTATTGTGCTTATAGGTTTCATTGGCATCACATTGGCCTAACATCATTAATAAACAGTTTCTTTAACCAACAAGCCCATGCCAGCAAAGACCACACTTTTACTGGTAACAAAATACAGCCCTGGTAGTTTAGTCCTTCTCTATAGGTTGGTATAGAGGTTGGTATATACCTCTTTGCTCATATAAGCTGCATTTTGTCTCAGAATGTTTGTCACTGTACTTGCAATGTAATTAAATATAGGCTAGAGATTAATGTAGGCAAATTTAAGCTTGCTAACTACAATAAGACCTGTAATGATAGTATCTTTGGTTTGTCCATGCTGAAATCTTTGAACATTTGATCAATTTTTATCTGTTATATTTTAAAACAAAAAGGTACCCACCCAGTCTCTTTCCTCCATGTCATTGCCACTGGATTTTTCATGATTCTGTGACTTTAAAAAGGGCTGCTCAGGAAATGGGGAAAGATGATGTTCTAATTTACATTTTCTCATAATCTTATAAATAATTTAAGATACAAAGGTACCTATAGTCAACAGTTTCTAAGAGAGAGCTTGATCCTCTACAAAAGTTATCTTGTAACATTTGTCTAGCCTAAAACATTTGGAAGAAGGCAAAATGATTGGAAAGAAAGCAAAATGTTTTTGGAAACCCCTCTATGTATTTAGAGGCTTTATCGTAACAACTTTCATCTTGGCTGCTGCGGCTTCCTCCTTGTCTGCCCACCCCCCTAAGTGTGTGATAATCTCCATAGTCTCCTTTCTCCCACACAGAAGGAATAGGATGCTGGGCCTCAGCAGAGGTTGACGGGACCAAAAAGGGTCCTTTTTCTTTACATGCTCTATACATTATTTCCACTTGCCCTTATTCAATTCTTTCACCAACTTGATTTGGCAAAAGAAATCATCTTCATTTTCATTTTTTTCCTCAAGGCTTCCTTTACATCTTTGAGCAAACTACGTGGTCTTATGCTCTCTAATTCTTTTAAAATACACAGTACTTCCCTAAATCGCACTTACACCATGGCATACACTTGAACTTGTGAAGTACACATAATGAATAAAGTAGGGCCATCTCAAGAGATACTAAGTTTTATTTTAAGTGTCTAACAGATGTATGTTATCAGATGTTCTTTTGAGTTATTTTCAAGTCAAAACACGGGTGTTAATTCAGATACAATGTATAGAACACCGGTTAAAACTTTAAGAAGCTAGTACAGCACAGACAGTGAAAGCACCAACAGCAATGTTCAGGATATTTACATAGCAATACTTAATCTATGCCAAGTTTTAGCAGTAACTATTCAGAATCATTAGTCTTTTTTTAATACCTTATGTGGGGCAATCAGTCTCTAAAATTTAAGTGGAAATATGTTATTTTGTGTAGAACTATTTTATGCCAAGCCTAACGATATTTGAACTCTGACTATAATACTGAGTAAGTGCAAATTTGAGTGCAATCCATTGCAAACCAGTTAAGAGGACGACCCGGTTTTAGGGCACAAAACTTTTGGGTCTGATCATGATTTTTACGGATTTAAAGGGCTGCCGATAGCCGCTGGGAATATCGTCGGAGATTCCGTGCCACGTGCCCCAGAAGATGCCGTTGCGAACGCCTTTGTACTTCTTGTGGTAGTATTTGCCGTTGAGGTTGGCCGACAAGCACGCGTCGAACCACCAGCCGGAGCTGTAGTAGGCCCCACAGTTGCCAGAGGCGTATCTGTCGTTGTCCTTGTCCGGCGTCGTGAAGAACTTCTGGTCGTGGTTGTAGTGCTTGCTGTAGTGCAGGGCATCCCCCGCCGTGCCGCTGTAGCCGTGCACGCTCAGCCGGTACTTCAGGTACTCGTTGGCCACGTAGAAATGCTCGTACTTAGCGTATTCCCGGATCCCGTTGAAATCTTCGAGTTCGATTCGCAGCTGCATCTCCTGGCTCTTTGTCAGCAGGTGGATTTTGTCGTTCCCCAGCCAGAACTCCCTGCTGAGGTTCCCGAAGCCGTTTTTGTAGTCGTTCCACGTCCTGTTGAAGCTGGTGCTGCCGTCCTGGCGCCGCTGCAGCAGGGTCCAGCCGCCGCCCAGCGCCTCCATGTTGCAGTACACCTCGAAGCTCTGGTTCCTGGGGTCCGGCGTCACGCGGTAGATCCCGTTGCTTCTTCTGCCTGCTGTGTAATAGTCGGCGCAGTCTCGCTGCATAATTTGCATAACTGGTAGAAAAACAGACAGTGCTCAAATAAACACATTTTGAATTAAAAAAAAAAAAAGAAATTGTTAGCATAATTCCAGATGTGGCATAAAGAACATTTTACATCTAGTGCAGGCTCCATTAAACTATTGTCTTGTGCTTCATAGGCTCTCTCTCGCTTTCCAAGTGTTGTTTTTTTTTTCAGGTATGGTTAAGTAGGAAAAGTCAAAAGGTAATTCAAGTTTTGTGTTACATTACCATCATATTGGACTTATAATACATCTGACTTTAATAGATCTAATGAGTCCAACCCAAGAAAACTGCTTAAAAGAGACAGGACGTTCAGCCTCTTGGATTAGAGGGACTTCTAGAAACAAAATGGTGCTACAGTAATTTCATTTCTCCCAAGGAGACAGCTTTTCCATCCATTTTACTCCATGGTAGCTACCATCTAAGCTGGCTAAATCAGATGTCTGTCAAACCCTTTACATGACTTTTGCAGCAAAACTTTAGGTTGGCTGTTGTTCAATGAACATGACGGGATACAGAACATCACATCCTTAGAAATTTTTTACATATTAATGTTGTTTTACAGCACTTTAGGAAGCAGGAAACAAAGCAGTAGAATTGTCTCATCTATTGTTGTAATACTGTGATTCCGAGAACGATGAAGCTAGAAAGTGACAGCGTTTTCCTGTGTCCCTGGCACTGCTGGCTTTAAAGTAAGGAAAAGATTTCAGCATCTACCATTTACACAGCTTTTTCTCTCTATGTATTTTGCATAAAAGAAAAATATCCCCAGGTGTTTCCTGCAGAATATAAATCTATATTCTCTCCACTAATTTGGTAATAACATTGCGTGCAACCGTTTTCATAATGCTGTTACAATTCCATGTTCCTGAATAAGAGATCGCGAGGTCGCAGAGATCCGAGTTAAGAGCCAAAACCACTCTGACAGGTTCTGTTGTAGATTTGAGTTTGTGCTGTGTTCTGAGGTTTTTGTTTGCAGACCTCAACTGCATGTTTTTCTAAAAGATTTTGAATAATTAAACTACTACTTTACCCAAAGACTTAAAAGCTGAATTTAAGTCCCAAACAGAAAGATCTTCCTTAATTTCACTGAACTTTGTGAAAGATCCTTGATTGTCAAAGTTTCAGAGCATATGTTGACAGAGAATACCCATTTTGGGTAAAATCTTTTTATAATCCAGTTCCATTCCTATTTAAGTAGGTAGTTTTGTTATTACTTTCAGTGGAAGCAGAAATAGCTCCTATATGTAAAACACTGTAACTATTACACTTGCTAGTTTTCATAATGTATCTGTTGCTGGTATGAATACTTGTAGATAGCAGTAAGGAATATATAGAAGCTTATGTGGTATGAGCAGTACCCCATATTTCAGTAAGAGATGTGAGAAATAACTAAAATGACTTTAGTCTAATATCAAGTGCTGTACCTGAATTTCATTGTCCATTGTCCATGTACACAGTAACAATCATTTTATTTGTGACAATTTTAGATCTGAATTGAACTATTTGCTTTATACTGACTTAAGTTCATTGCTGATACAGTAAAAGTATTTCTTGTATTATTTTGCATTTGATCTTCCTACACTTCTCAGAATTTCAACTGTAAATCCACTGTACGATCTGCAGATCCTTCAGTTTTCATTTTGACTAGGCAGTTTTATTTTAAACCTGTATGTTGAGCAATAGAGTCTCAAAAACTTAAAAGCAGTCTGATATTTCATTGCTTTATTTCTACACAGCCCTATGTGATATCTAAGTGGTAGAATACAGCAACAATCTTGTAAATAGTTCTTATTCTCAGTATTCATGTTTTCAGTATTTCTTATTTTCCATAAAATGTTCTTTTTCACAATTTTTTAATATTTTAGCAAAGGTGAACGTAAGGGGGAAAGTATTAATTTTATTTCTTGATTTTAATTAGGAAATGTAACAGTCAAAGAAAAATGTGTTTGTTAGAGGTAACACCTGTAAAGCCTCTTTTATATTTTATATTTCTTACATATAAGATATATTATCTCTTAGATTATATAGAATAATATATTAGATTATATTATTTCTTACATATATAATTCTTATATATGAGATATTTCTTATGTTTTAGATTCTTGCTAAGGATATGTTGTGTACATTGAGAGGTACTCTTAGCAGGCCTTTTAGCCAAGCTTTTGATATTTGCTGTGATGGCTGAAAATTATTTTGTTATTGCTCTGGCAAAAAACATTTTACTAGATTCATTTCATATTTAATAATGATTTGCAAAACATTTCAGAATAGTTGCATTGTCTAAGGTACAGCTAAAGAGGATATTTGCCCCTTCATCCAAACAGAAAGTATATGTAGTTCTCTGATGTTTAATATCCTTAACGAAGGCATATGGTGTAGAATAATACATTAATTGTTTGCATTTAATAAATATGTTACAGAAAATGTTCTTTGAAAATTCATGTTCGGGCCCATAATAAGGTTAAATTCTGGGAGGAAATGAACACCTGCAACTCCGTGCAACCCTCTAGTGGCAGGTGAAATGTTTTACTGGACTGTATGTAAACACCAAAAGAGCAAATCCTTATATTGTGAAGGGGATAGCACATCTGCCTGATGAAAATCTATTTTAATTCTTTCATCTACACCCTGCCAAAGGCACAGAAAGCTCATACAGGCATAAGGAATTAGCAGGTTACATACCAGGGCTTGGTTGCCTTGCTGGGCAGTTAGAAGAGCATTTGCTGTCCAGGCTGTTCACGGCAAATGTCAAATTGGCAACCTTGCTGTCCACGTAGTTTTCTACGTTGTTCATATTGATGAGGCTCATTTTCTCTAGGCGACCCTGCAGCGTCTGAATCTGAGCCTTGGCATTTTTTAAGCTGGTTGACATCTTGTTGACTTTGCTTTGCAGCTCCTTCACTCTGTTGTCTTGGATTTTACTGTTTTCCGCTGGAGTTTCTGTGTTAGGTGGCAGGAATTCATTGCTACTGTCCCTTTGTTGGTTGTCATCTGCCTGCAGCTTGCAATCTTGGCAACATTTCCTCAGCTTGTTTACCGCTTCTTTAAGGCTCTGGACTTCTTTGAGAGTCTTCTCAATTAGCCTGAACTGCTTGGGTAACTGGATAGTCATAGGAGGCAGGTTTAGCTGATATGGACAGTCCTCTCCTTCATCGCATTTCCCATTCGTTTTCAGCTTAATAGGACAAGTGTCAGTACCTTTTCCTCCTTCAGCATCCTCTGCCTCTTGCAAAGCGACTGCAAAGACGTCTGTTAAAGCAAGCAGAGCCGTCTTAAGCAGGACGAAGCAAACGAGCAGCTTCATCTTCGCAGCGAAGCCAGCAGTATGAGGAAGTGTGCAAAAGTGGAGTTTTTATAAGGGCAGCTCGAAGCCTGTGAGTTATCAGAGCGCTGCACTGTTCTCAGAACTGGGTGGGAGTGCTTGCATCACGGGCGATATTAATAGCAGAGCAAAGTAGGTAGTGCTTGGCAAAAGGAGCAGATTTCAGTCCGTCTTCCTGACTCAGAGCTTGTGCATGTGAGCAAAATGATGAAATGCATGTGTGCCGATCATTTAGGCACTCTAGTTTCCCGTGTTTTTAACGTGGATTTTCTTTGAGAGGGGAAAGATCACTCAGCTCTGTGTTTTAATAGGCTGTAAACATCTGTTTCTTAACATCCGAGTGTTCTAAAATTATTCTTAAAAAGCAGACCACACGTTTATCACAGCAGGTGCAAAAGGCCCCTCGGAAAGGGGAAAAGAGGAAAATCAGCCCCTTTCCCAATATGCTGCCTATCACAAGAATAGCTTTATCAACCCTGAGTCTTCCCCTTCCTTAAACTTTTTTAGATGAATAAGTCTATTCATAAAAATGATTTAAACCCTGAATATATCAAAAAACACATAATTTTCATTCCAAGTATTTCTTTCAGGTTAAGGTCAAAGCCAAGGAGGATGAGCAATTCCTTTTTTCTTCCCATTTTACCTAACAATATTTAAAATAATTATTAGAATATTCATGATCTGGGACATCACAATTCAAATTCGTTTCTGTCTGATTCTGAGCCAGCATCCAAGGAAGGCCTCTCCTCAGGAGAAACTGCTGGATATCCTGAGATAGCTCAGCACAGTCCCCTTTCCTTTTGAGATTCTTCAGCCTCCCAGTCTGTCCCTTTGCCTCTTAAACTGACACTTAGGATCTCAAAAATCTTCTTTCTTTCTTTCTTTTTTTTTTTTTTTAATTTAAGTGTTGGCTAAGTGGTGCAGAAAGCCTGGCATTCTGACTGCTGCTCCAAGATTGTAAATTGAAAGCTAGACTGGGAGCTGGGGAAGTAGCTGCCATGGCCCGTGTATTTGGGGCATTCTTTTCTGAATTCCTGTTTTTCAGTTTTTTTTTTTTTTAATTCTACTTCTTTTTATTGCATCTTGTGTCAGCCTCAGGAGTTAATCATTAATTTTTCCTGACTAATCCTCCAGATGAAATACATTGTTCTGTTCTAGGTGCCAGCTTCCCTGCACTTACTCACTTGTGTTCTACAGCCACCTTTACCTTTTTCACGTGGTGCCTGTGCAGTGTCAGTGATAGATGACTTTTTCTTCCCTTGTGCTCCAAAACAGACCTGAACTGGTGTCTTTGGTGCATTCATAGCTCTGTCAAGAGCTGAGTACCTTGCCCGAGAAAAGCATATTAACACCAGCATATTAACAAAGCATGTTAACACTCGTTCTTGTTTAATTGGTCCAACAGGAATGGCTTATTTCCCTAAGCCCTTTTTCAAATTACTCATACTGCAAATTAAACATTAAACAGACACTAGTCACACACATGCTCCCCAAGTTCATGATCTCTGGAATGTTACTAGTTTTTATAGAGCCCAGAGGCAGACGCTGATAATACAGCCACAGGCTTGGTGAAGAGAGACCCTGCTGCAACGAGCCCTTCACGTTCCTGCGTGGAACCAGGCTCTGGGCGATTCCTTGCAATTCCTCTGATTTTCACCTCTCCCACATTAAGTGGACATCCCAGAGCCTGTCATGTGGTGTCATCCAAGGGACCAAGAAATAGGTCCCTTGGCCCTATAGGATCACAAACCTCCGTTTCTGTGGTGGCCAGGCTCCCTCGCTTGGTTTACTCCCAGCTCTGCTGCTTTTTGACTTTGTATTGGACAAACTATTCTGTATCTTTAGAATTAGTGATAATGATATGTGGTCACCCTTGTCTTATGAACTGGCTTGAAATTCCTCAAGTCCATATCAAATATTATTGTTTGTGATTATTATGCTGCCCTGGAAGTTTAGAAATCCCTAGAACTGAGAGGCTTCAAGGACAGGCATTTCTGGTAATGGTGAATATCACCATTAGAAAAGGAAGTTCAGACAGCAACATAAACTCTCTTAACCTTTTAAACACTTTTTCCTAAGACAATCATTCCTCAGTCTCCAGTATATCTTTGATTTGGGATATTAACTTCCTTCTTTGGATGAGCTCTCTGCAATTCAAGGTGCTCTGCAGTGCCTCTCTCTAGTCTGATGCTCTGCTCACATTCTCTGAGCAGTCGGCTCGGAGCCTGAGACTTCTCTCCTACGGGGAGAAGTGGTGTGATCGAGGATGGGGTTTTCTTCCCATTCACAGCAATCTGTCAAGTATCCAGAAGCAGAATTATGCTCCTGACTTTTGGTGTTTTTGGATTTCATACCTCCTTAGCTTCCCAGGGGAAAGTGAAGCAAGCCTTCAAAGCAGAGCTTATCACAAGAAATCCTTGTAAAACCTTTGGAAGAGTCACTGAGTGGCAGGATACTATGCAGAAATACTGGATCAGATCAAAATCAAGAACTACAGAGTTTATTTGTAGGCATGAAGTTTTTCCCAAGTGGAATTTTTCCAGGTCCCTTTTTTTCCCACATCACTCTTCCAGAGTATTATGCTTAATAGTTAAACCAAAGCAAAAACTATCTTTACAACTTTGTTTTTGTTAACCATTTAAAAGATCTAATTAGTAGCTGATGATGACGAAAGAGAATTTTCTATCAATGTCTGATATTTACTTAAAGGTCTCTTTCTTACAGCTTTTCATCTCTTCTAATCTTTATTAATTGATTTATTTTTTTTCCATCAGTGAACTGATCTTAATCTTAAAGATATATCTTCCCAATTCTGTTCCCAGAACTACTGACTGGCTGGAAGGTTAAACAGCCTTAGCACTGCAATATATTTTGGTTTAACAAACTTGTGCTAGGATTGTTTATTCAAAATTTATCAGTAGTAGCATGAACCATTTCCCATGATTTTTAGGGCGTTTTTTTTTTATTCTGGCAGATGACAGAATGTAGAAAAGAAATAGAAAAGTCAAATAGAAAACAAGAAAGGTAAGATTGTGAGCAGATATTCGTTTCACTAGTGACTATGACCATTTAAAGCACTGCAGCTTGACGTCTGTTTGGGGTCCAGGTTTTTGCTACCACGTCCCGCTACAGAGTTGCTGCCAAACCTTGGTTTGTTTAAGCAGTTTAAACTGAATGACAGGATAAAACCCCAGGCAGATCTGGGGTTGTTCAGATAGGCCAGTTATCCCAGGCCGTTATCCCTGCTGTATCGGAGCCATCCCAAACAGCCCTGGCTGCCAGGTGCAGTATTTACTGACCTTGTGTCATCTTGGTGGGAGCTTTAATATTCTTCATAGTGCGACTGCCTGTTGCCATGAACAGGGGTATAAAACTACTGTTTTTAACTATGCCTTGGGAAAGGATTTATGATACTATTTCCCTAGTTAATTGTTTGTTAGTTTTATAAGGCTTTCAGCAGTTTGCTTTTCATTATAAGATGCCTGGCTGAGCCATCCATAATTAAGAAGCAAAACTGTAGAAATTCCATTTAATGCAAACCAGGGTTATATCTGCCATAACTATAGTTAGGACTATATAGTTAATATATTTCATGTGTGCTCTTAGTTTCCATTTGTCTCTTGCTTATGTACCATCACCTGCATTTAGCTTTAATGTGAGGTGCTTTACTACATCACTTCAGTGATGAGTGTATTGGTATAAAGGACTGTATCAAAACACAAGTGAGTACCACCATTTCTCAGACTGTATTTTTTTAGCAGTTGCATATATATTAGTATATATACTAGTATATATACTAATTACTGTATTACTATATACTATATTACTATTGGCATAGCTAAATGATGCCATTTCTTTACTCATTTGTGCAGCCAATAGCCGCCTGGGTCCAGATATGATTGGCTGTTGCCTAAATTAAATGTTGAGAAAATTCAGTGTCAAATCTTTTTCTATTTTCCTAGTAAGAAGACTTTCCCTGTGAACTTCCCATACATATCCTTCAAAATCTACATGCTGTCAGTTGGTATGGGCTGGGACGAGAAGGGTTACGCCTTTCATTTGTCAATCCTACTGACAGTGTTAGTTCAAAAATCACATGACATTTTTCTTTACCTTTTACCAATATAACCCTTCTCTCTAAAAGAATGACTCATGGCTTAAACACTGTGTATTCTTCCCTTAATCATCTGCTGTGTCGTTGTTCCTGCTTGTACTTTCTTACATTTCCCAGTTCCCAAAAGCGTAATGAACATATTTACTGGCCATAAAGAGATTCTGATGTAACACTTTGCTTCAAAAACAAAACTTTGGTCATCTAAACATCTGGTCTCTGAGCTACTAAATCATCTTTGCCTCCCTGCGTTGCCAGAGATGAGGAAGAGGCCTGTTGACAAGGAGGTTCCTCCCACCTGCAAGAACAGGGCTTAATTCTTATGACCAAAGACTCAAGCCAGCGTCAGCAGCTTGCTTTCTTGTTTCTTAGGAATTTTTGAAAATAGTCTGAAATTAAACTTCTGGGAAAAAAAAAAGGATGAGTTTTTTGTTTGTTTTGTTTGTTTGCTTTTTCCAGAATTTTAGGGCTCTTCGCAGATTAGAATTGAGAAACAAAACAAAAAGATTACAAGGCAAAGATTGAAATCAGTTATTTCCCATCTTCTAAATGACTTGGGACATGTGCAGAGAGAACTTCTGTTAGTGGCAAAATGGGCTGTTCTAATATTTCCTCTACCTGGAAAACTTTTATAATACAGTCTGATCTGAAAGGAATTTGATCTTGACTTTATATTAGAAAATAATATCTGAAGGAGAATTCCTAGGAACTTGAGTTTCATCATAGGTGCTTTTATGGACCAAATTTCATTGCTTGAAAAAGTAAGACCATTTGGTAAATTGAGCTAATTTACATTATTCTTTTATCATTTTCTCAATTTGACTTAAAAAAAAGGAATGGTTATTTAAAGCAATGTCATTTGATTTTTATATCAGCCATTAAATCCTTACCCTTTCATTAGTTCATTTGCCAACAGCATTCAGAGATAAGTA